AAATACATTGAACTCTATGAATATAACTTTAAGCTAAGGGGTCTTCACCAGCATCTTTAGACAGAATCAGATGCCATATGCTGCTGTTTCTAATCAATATGTCTTAGAAATGCAGAGAAACATTAGTGTTTTTTATATTTCACATGTCACCTGAAAAACATTATGGTCTGACTGTTACTATGGTAGTTAAAATAGATAATTTTGTGCAATTAAGGCTATTAAATAATCTGAATGACAATAGATTCATTAAAAGACCTTACAACTATCAAATGATGGCATGATAAAAACTCTGACAAGCTAGGAGTAAAGATAAAAGATGGAGAAATTAGGCTTAGCAAAAGCCAAGCTCTTGGATGCCCCATTCCTTCCTTTTCTTCCATTTTAGATTAAATAGCCCTCGTATTGTTAAGTGGGGCAGCGCTGTCCTTAGCCTTAAATTGGAGACATTTAAAAGTATTTAAAAGATATAGTGATAAGAGTCAAGATAAAGATTTAATTTCAACAGCTCCATCATAGCAGCCTACACAATACCTTATATTTTAAAAGGGCTTAGCGTTCTAAAAAAATAAAATAAAATGTGTGGGTATTGTATATACAGTGATTCACACAAAATGTTTATCATTTGAAGTCTGGAAATAAACTCCATCTTAACCTTAAATTGTTATCTCTTCACAGTTGAAATGCCATTTGAAGGCATGCAGAAATTTAAAGTAACTGATTTAACAACCTCAGACAAAGAGAACATGTCTGAAAGTCTGTCTCCATGTTTGACTTGACCTGAGAGAGTTTCTCTTAGACTTATTTTCTAAATAGTACCCTAGTACCTTGGGCCAACAAAGTGGCCTTTAAGCTTGAATGAACAAGGAACTTCTTTTTCTTGTGCAAAGCTTCATTATTTCATCTTTTCAAACTCTTTTACTGCATTTGGTGTGGAATTCTATTGACAAGGGTAGAATTTATCTCCTGGAGGAGAATGCCATGCTTCTGCTAAGTGCTAATATAACTTTTATGTGTTGGTACCTTAATAACAGCCCCAGCTTACCTAATGAAAGTTGAAAGCAAACAGTACTCTCTGAGATTTTATTATGACTGAAGTGACTGCAATTTGAGGCAAATTATCCCTACTTTTGTTCCCATATCAAAAACAGAGATGCTAAGGCAATTGCTACATGTTTGGTGTAGAATTAGGTTCCACTCTCATTAATCTACAAGGAAGAGCATTTTTCATGTAAACAGCTCATGAGGGTCAGAGAGAAGAGCTGTTTCTGTGAAAAATGCTTGTCAATAACTTTGTGAGTGAATTTTGAAATAAAGTGCCTGTAACCTGTCATTATTCCTTCCTCTCAAAGTCGAGAGTGAGTGGATGAAAATTGAGCATGTGAATTGAAAACAGGGTGAGTGTTATGGCCTTATCGACTTCAGGTAAAATGACTGCTTTAACTTGTTATTATTTTTCCATTCAGAGGTCAGGCAATGGACAGTATTACCAGCATAAACTGCAGTGTAAGCAAATTGATATACAAAAAGGCTATTACCTACACTCACAAAGCAGAGGAAAGTATAAGTCACTAATATCAAGTGGACTTGTGATCTCTACAAAAACAAAACAACCAACAGTGCTTTGAAGAAGAATAGCGTAGATATATTAAGTATAAGGTATCTAAGAGGATGCAAATATAAATAAAATGTTTAAATAAAGATGTGTATGTTTAGAAGGCAGTTAAGAAATATATATATTTTTAAAATTGCATATAAATCATACTTGTTTTGCAAAGGAATTGTGGAATCATAATGATATTAGACACCCCACCTCCATATGTCACCTTAATTTTTCCTGAGATCATCTTAAAAGTAATTAGCTCCTGAATTTTCAAGTCCATCTGATGTATTCTTTTGAAAACCAAATATTACTGCTGTCTCCTTTCTCTCTAGAGAAAAAGGAAATCAAGGAGCTTTCAAAATATTAAAAACCCTTTCCTTGTCTTCTGGATTTTTACTTCAAATTCTGAAACACAGTTTAGGAATTTAGTATGGCTGTTAGGTTTGCAAGAAAAACATCTTTCTCCCAAAGTAACCTCAAGCCCATAGAAAGTGTATATTCAATCCTAGTGTTCATTTCATTTTTGTTTCAGAGGACCATCTAGTTTTTCTGTCCCTGATCCTGACTTCTCCATCGATGATAGTGATTTTTCTGTTATAGATTCAGGTGGTCAGAAATGGGCAGACTAGCCTAGAAATTAAAAGACGTTATAAAAGGACTCGTTGATTGAAAGCAGATTTAGAGGGAGAAAGGGTAACACATAATTTTGAAGACATGTTCATATGCCTACTCATCAAGTTCCCAACTAATACAAAAGGCATAAATTCTTTCACTTCTAAGCAAGTTTTCCCTGGTTTCAAAATAATTATAATTAATATAAAAGAATTATAGTATGTTGGCATTTCTTTGCTTCCCATTTTCTCAGTTTATTTATTCTTTAAGTGAATATTTACTGGTTGGACATTGTACCAATCATGATAAGACAATAATCTCAGGAGAGTAACTGCCTTTATTGAGTGAGGAAGAGGGAATAAGGACAATAGTGAGATAAATTGACAACACTGGAAGAAAGCAAGCTCCATTGAAGAGAGACTTTTCATGGTTCTATTCAGTTACATATCATAACCACCTAAACCAGCACCTGGCATAGGGAAGAAACATGACATATTTGTTGAATGCTGAATAGATGTGATGGAGCATACATACACAGTACAATTAGGAGACCAAGGAATGGTCAGAAAAGACTTCCCCAGTAAAAGATAAGTCTAACCTCTGGGAATATTGACATGATTAAGCCAAGGAGAGTTGGAGCAGGACCTTCTGTATCAAGGGAACAGAGATTTCCAAAATTAAGTTTAGAGGCAAGAGGTAGTTGAAAGAATTGTTGTTGATTCTGTATGGCTCCAGCAATGAGTGAGGGGTGGGGCATGCAGAGCTGGTTGAAGTAAATACAGGACAGATTGTGAAAGGCCTGATGAGTCATGCTAAGAAGTATGGACTTTAGACCAGAATCCATTGAATAATTTTAAGCATGCAGGAGCTTGGAAAGAAAAAAAAAAGCATATTTTAGGAAAAGATTATTCTGGCTGAAGTGTGCCAGATGGATTGAAGAAGAAAATTGGAGTTGAGGAGACCAGTTAGGAGGCTTTGCAGAAATCAAAGCAGCATACAAATGACAGTGGCCTACATTAAGGAAAAAGTAAAGCAACAGAGAGAAATAGGCATATTTAAGTGGTTTTAAGGTATTAGAAATGATAAGATGTGTTGACTGCCTGGAATGAGGTGAAAAAAAGAAACTAAGTAAGACAAAAGAGACAAAGGTAAGACCCAGTTTTACAGCTTTGGACAACTGAGTGAGTAGTTGATATTTCCCAAGATGAAAAAGATATGTTTCATAAGGAAGGTGACAAGTTTACTTCTGGAAATGCTAGGTTGTTTAAAGTATCTTGTTGAAATAGCCCTAGTTTCTGTACTGATCCCAGAAATCTGGGACAGATTTAGACCCAGACTAAGTCCATTACAACCAATGGATGAAACAAATCTAAGTACCTATTATAGCAGTTAGAAGCAATAGTTTTCATACACTGAAAATAAATTGCATTTATAATATAAAAGTATTATTGTTTCTTATAAAAGTCTTTATGAAATGGAAAGGTAGCAGGACATGGTGGCTCAGACCTATATTCCCAGCTACTCAGAAGGCTGATGCAGGGGGACCCTTTTCATATAAAAGCCTTTATGAAATGCAAAGGTGGAAGGGCATGGTGGTTCATACCTGTAGACCCAGCTATGTGGGAGGCTGAGGCAGGAGGATCACTTGAGGCCAGGAGTTCAAGACTACAGTGCACTATGATTGTGCCTGTGAATAGCCACTGTGCTCCAGCCTTGCCAACATAGTGAGACCCCCATCTCAAAATTTTTAAAAGAATTGCAAAGGTTTACAAAGAGCAAATTGTTTCTGAGAGTTAAGTTATTATAATTATCCTGAATTGTGACTAATCGATGAAAAGAATGGTGCTACAGACTGTTACCACAAATGATGCTCTGAATGCTTTAGGAATTAATTATGAGTGTATCTGTACAGGTGAGACACTTAAATATTTTTGCGCTTACAGCTATATGACATGCAAGTGCTAAAGGAACATATTGAATTGAACATACAGTTGAGCATCCCTAATTTAAAATCTGACATGCTCCAAAATTCAAAACTTTTTGAACACCAACGTGATACTACAAGTTACCCTAAACACCCTTTTTCTTAACAGTAAATAAGTGTAAGAAAATGATTGCTTATCAGTGGCATATAAATTCAGAGTCAGAAATGATAGTGGTGTCAAACAACCACAGATGGTCTACATAGGTGGCTGAGATAGTGACAGCTTTGCTTTCTGGTGGTTCAGTGTACACAAACCTTGTTTGATGCACAAAATTATTAAAAATATTATAAAATACTATCTTCAGTCTATATGTGTAATGTATATATGAAGCATAAATAAGTTTTGTGTTTATATTTAGGTCCCATCCCAAGTATTCCAAAGTATTCTAAGTATTCCCAAGTATTCCAAAATCCAGAAATATCCAACAGCTGAAGCACTTCTGTTCCCTAGCATTACTGATAAGGAATACTCAACTTGTGCATATCCACATATATTTTTAAACATATATAATTTCTTATATTTTATCTTGCTTGGTTCTACAAGAGATTTTAGAATAAAGATACAAGAACAATTCAAAATGCAAACATACATAACCCCTAGTTTATATTGGCAATTATGGACAACAATTATTAAGAGCTAATTAACTGAACTACTTTATGTGTTTCAACCTATTTTCATTTATTATCTAATTTTTCATTTACTAAATATGTACATATTGTATATATGTAAACCTAATAAGGTTTCTGGAATACTTGCAGATCCGTTCTGACATCAACATCCAGATTGCTGTCTTTTATTTCTAGGAAAACCACAAGTGTGATGCAATGGCAAAAGTAGTAGTATCCTGATGGTGGTGGTAATTCCTAGCCTTCCCAGAGTTGCTGCAGCCAAGTAGCACATCACTGCAGTGGCAGAAGAACCATTTAAAAGGAAGAATTTTGCTTTGAAGAAGAAAGCTAAGGATTTTCAAATGGAATGTGAAGTTGTGGCATCCAGTTCTGCTTCTAGTGCATCAGTCCTCATCTCTTTACAATGAATGTCACCTTCTACCTCCTGAACTGATGTACATAGGACTCTAGAGGACATGATAACTCTATTTGTACAAGAAACGGGAAGAACCTAAAATTCACCAAGCTGCACCATTGTGTTTTAGAATATTCTATTTCAAATGACAACAGTTCTGCAAGCAGGTAAGAGGACCATTAGACAGTTGAAAGGAAAGTACAGATTGTGGAGCAACATCATATGTGTTCGTCAGAGAGAGAGATTAACATAAGCAACATGGGAGACTTTGGCCCCCATCCAGTCAATGAGAGTACAGGATGAGAGAGAGGAATCCACTGTTCCCACTGTTCTCAGTTCTTTTATATTTTCTGTGTGAACCTCTTACTACTCTATGAGGATTCCAGAGTTTAAAGCAATGCATTTTTCCTACTCCGTAACCCTCTTTATTATATTCCAAACCACGTTTAACATATAATGCTGCACACATTATGCAGTGCATATTAGTGAATAGGTTTGCATACATAGTACCATGAACACTATTCTTTAGAGATGATTTACAGAATTTAAACCAACCCCAATGTAAATCTGGCTTCATGCTCCACACACAAGTGAAAGTGAAAATGTCATCCCCCACACCAACTCTGACTCAGAGGGAAGCTCCACCATTTATGTTCCAGGAATATTTTACAGAAGGGGCTTTGATTCATAGTGCTAAGAGACAGACACACTCCAGTGTGCACTTGGCATATTTTACTGTGTAGCTAGCTACCAAAAAAGGGCTCTGAACCAAGAGACACATTTCATTCTCATCATGCAAGTCAGGCTCAAGAGTCAGAACATTTTGCTGACCAACTGGTTAATTTCCCATTTAAGCAGCAATAAGAAGTTCTCACTCTTCCCAGGCCAATGAAAGTTTTGGTTTTTATTGGACCACCTTCATGTAAATGACACTGACTGACAGTTGATTCAGAACAATCAGTTCCAATTCAATCTACTATTCCTTTATCAAATTAGCCTAAATTGCGTGTGAAGCCTCTCAGGGGTTTTAAAATACAGTTGTATGCCAGACCTTGCTATAGGTGCATTTGAATTCAATATTTGCAAATTAAATTGTATTTTGAACATTTTATGGAAGTTAGCTTTTAAAATGCATTTCCTAAATAAGATATTTCAAAAGCAAAGTGAATAACTACCTGCTCATTTATCTTTTTGTTTAAATGCAGATTTTAATATACCTAATTTGTTTAAAGCAAAAACCTTTCTAGAACTAACATTTAATCTTTAGGACTTTTGGTGATTGATTGTTTCTTTGCAGGCAAAACAACATAATAAAAGTTATGTCCCACCAACACTGTGGTATTATTATCTTTACACTGCAGGGAAGGGAGCAAGGCACAGATGCATCTGGTCATGATTCCAAGATCACTCACCTGGCTCCTTCATGGATGGTAAGGTAGAGAATCTTTGCTTCTGAGTTCTGGTTCAGTGTCCTTTTCACTGCTCTACTGTCTGCTGCAAGAAGAAAGGGAAAATAGGTGTATGGAAAATAGAGAAGTGGCTGCGTACCATGTAAGTCATGAGAAAGCCTATCAATGACTTTGAAATCAGCTCATAAAGGGAAAAACAGAGACTATACTAGTAAATTCAGTGCCTAATTAACATAAATCTTTTTACAGCCTTGGGATTTTCCGTGGTTTAATCCTTTGTGAAATAAAATGCCCCATAATGGCTCATAACGCACCATCCTGTGGCAGCTTTAGTTTTGGGGAAATGATACATGTCTTCACAAAACAAATAATTCAGAGCATATCTCTGTATACTTGTATGCTCATTTTTAAGGGCAGGGTCTACACATTCACATTTTCATGAATATGAATAGGAAAGATTGGCTGAACCATATTAATTTAATTAATATAAAACATGGTGCTCTAAGATCCCAGCATTTATTTTTCCTTCACTTAGCCTGAAACAATACTAGAAGGAAATTCAACTGGATATTCTCTAATACATTTAAAATATAAAATAAAGCAATGAAAATGTGACAGAAACAAGCTCCTCTCATTCAGGAAAGAAGGAATGAACACAGAGCCTGACAGAACCTGATTGTTGTTCTACTAGGAGTAGTATTAGAGAAAATATCAGCCTGGTAAAATGTATCTCCTTTTTGCATCTTGCCTGCTTAGCTGCTGACATTCCACAGTCTCATATTATTCTCTGAATAAATTATACTCATTTTGTTTAAAAATTTTTTAACATGCATTTACATAGTGCAGTTTCCTGGGGAATAGGAACTGTGCTGAGCTGTGTGTTATACTAATGGCATTCAGTGCAGAATGAGTCATCATGGTTTTTATTTATTCATTCATCCTTGGATCCTTTTAAAAGTCTCCGAGGCCCTAATGACCATCATTATCATCAGTAAAAACTGCGTTCTGGTGAAAAGGCAATAGGCATTAAATTGAGAGGCAGCATTAAATTATTGGTAAAGAGGACTTGAAATCGTACTACATACATATTCCTGGACACAATATACTGAAAGTTCATATAGTAGCAGTCGAGCAATCTTTTTATAAAGTTTGTGATTAAGATATTCTCTTCTCTTTTCAAGGCAATATCATTTAGCTCAGAAGAAAATAAAATATAGGCCAGTGTCTATGTTCCAAGTGTAACCATTGGAATTCAAAGGTTTCAGCCATAGAATTTTTTAATTATAAATAAAACCTTTTAAAAATTATCAGTATTAAAATTTTATTTCAAGCATTTTCCCTACCTACTACAGTTCCTTGAATGTAATAAACATTGTCTAGTCAGTGAGTAAAAAGGCAATGAGAATAGTTTTAATAAACTTTGTTAAGTCTTTTCTGTCTCAGACATACTTTAAATATTCCAGTGTCATTCAGTGAGCTAATAGAGGGCTTACTTCTCATGTAATCTCCAGCAACAGAATTAAACTAGATCCACAGGGCCAAAATACACTCATTCAGGGATGAACTTAGCATGGCATCTGAAAGTATGGGAAAACTAGTACCTTGCGGTAAATAAAGAGCACCATTACACTTGGCAGTCCTCGTAACTTTCCCTTATCCACAATCCCATCGCAATTTGGATAGTTGGTGAAGTTCAGAAAGCTATCAGGAAGAGAGAGGACTAGAAAAGTTGACTTCTTAGATTTGTGGAAACATTGTAGGTTACTTCAGAGTGTTCTAAATTTGAAGCAAGTCTGAGTTAGAGATCATTATCTGCTATATATAAATGGTTTTTTCTATTAAACTATCTATCTAACTTTACATGTTGCCATATGTCTGATATTGAAGCAGGTGGTCAGGTATTTCAACTTTCTGCCTTTTTTTTTTTTTAAAGAGACCCAAAATCTCTGCGTGGAACAGAATACCATGTAATTTGCAGTGTAACATTTACAGGCTATTGCCAATGAATATTCTAGCTCTATGAATGTGGTTCTTTTTTAATTTGGTCAAAAAATACTTTGAATTGAGAGAGAGTGACATATATTTTTGAAAACAACTGACAATCTCTTCAAAGCCTCAATGTCCTTTCTATAAAATGGAAATGCTAGCTAGCCTTGTTCACATTTAGGGTGGTTATAGTATTCAATCAAGACCATCTATGTGAAGGCATTTTTGTTAATTGTTAGGAACTGTATCAACCCAAGTTGTTGCTGTTGCTCTTTTTGTTATTCTTCTGAGCCTTCAGGGGTTTTAAGAAGGATAAAATTGTGTTTTCAATCTTTATCAAATTCTTTAATAAACAGGCTTTTGTTTGCCACCAAATTTTAAAGGATAATTTAAAACTATGTCTAGTTTTATTGTTGATTATTTAAATAGATTTCCCTAATCTGGGTATATAGTGAGGCAGAGGTTGTTAAAGAGAATTTGCTTGCATTGACACTCCAAACTCTTCTGGCCCTTCAGTACTTCTACAAGAAAATCACAGCCTTTCCTGTTGCCTCTTGCAAAGTCATGTCTTATCTCTTAAACTCCTCTTCCCTGATGCTTCAGAATGATAGAATTTTCTCCCTCCAGCATGCCCCACCTCCCTTACCAGAGAAGATTGACCAATGCCTCATCTCAGTAGCAGGCTGATGATGGGGTCTCCTTCGGAAAGAGTTCTGCAGTTTGACATTTTTTCATCATCCTTTTTATTTTAATCCTAACATTACAAGTACTCATTTTTTAAAAGAACTCTGAATGAAATGTATGTAGTTTCTTTTGCATTCTTACTACACTAATAGCATCTTTATTATCTATTAACTGTCTATAAAACATTAATGGAGGCCAAAACAGGATCTGTACTTCTATGGTTCATGTTTTTGAGCTGGAAAAATCATTCTTAACTCTTAGTATTACAGGAAAGGGAAAACATCTTTTTCCTTTTACCCTTCTTAGTTCTTGAATGGGGCTCCTTTAAACGACAGATTAGTAGGAAAAAGGCATACAAATTTATTTAAAGTAAGTTTTTTGTGACACAGGAGCCTTCATAAGGAAATGAAGACCCAAAGAAATGGTTAAATCTGACGATTTTTATGCTAGGTTTGCTGAAAAGTGGAAAGTCATGGAAAAATGGATTAGGACAAAGAGGATAAGTATAATAAATGGAGGGGAAGGCTAGGAAGGCCTGTTAGTTCTGATTCCCCTCAGTGTCCCGTATTCAGAGGTAAGAATGCTCCTTTCCTCAGGGTTGAAGGAGGGCACCTCCTGTATGAGAGGAGTATAACCTGCTTCATGAGAGAAGGACAGAAAAGGCCAGAGAGAACTTCCTGTGGTTTCTCAAATTCCTTCAGCTTAAAATATTCAATATGCCAAGATACCATAGCTTGGCATATCATATCCTGAAACCCATCAGTTTCAAAAGTGAAATAATGCTCTGCACTATCACCAAGTGTAGCATGTATGTTAGGTAATTTAACCTTTTTTGTTACAGTAAGAAACCTGTCCCCAAATTAACTGATACGATGTATAACAGTTAAAACTTCATAGGCATTTCGAATTGTATTGATACCTGGGAGTTTCTAGACAATATAAAATTTTCTAAATCTTGTATACTCTACAGCTTCTGAAGTAAAATTGCCATCCTGAAATTTAGGTTGTTGAGAATTATGTATTAAGATTAACTGGCAAAGTAGACTAGGGTCTTCTAATTACTGATCACAATGACTTAAGAAAACATGTTTAAACTAATTAAAGGTTTAAGCAGTGTTTGCAGTTGAAATAACTTCTGGGCTCAGCATTTGCCCAGTTCACCACACTAGGAACAAAATATTCTAATCCTTCAAATAGATTAAATTGAGTGCTGAGAAATTCAATTTCACACAGTATCTATAAGTATATTTATATTGGACTGAAATTAATTATCTAGAACAATTTGAGTTTCAACACCTATAGTTATGGAATTTGGAAATGTAGAAAACAGAGGGCTCTTATTGTTATTGACATATTTAAAAGCTTCACCACCAAACCTGTTCTTCAGTAAATTTTTATATGGATTTTTAAAATTTTTCTTTAAAATTGACTTTAGTTCTCTATATGTAAATCAAAGTGTTCCCCCAAAGTGAACAGTAGAATAAGATCAGACATTATTTCAACTGTACAAAACTGATAATTCAATCTGACAGATATTCATTGGGGCACATAGATTAATAAGACAAAATCCCTGCCTACTTGCAATTTAAGTCTTAGAATAAATAGAGGGTGTGCAATGAAGGTATCAGACTGAGAGCTCAACTCACTTTGTGTGGTAGCTACTGTATTTGGGTGATCCTGATAGCCCTAAATATTAATCTAGAAGAAGGCCAGTAGAGCAATTCTTATCATCCAATCTTTTACCCGTGGTTGGGATAAGCCTTGCTTTGGAGAAAATGTTATATATGTAAGTTTACCAAACAGGTAAGCTTAAGGGGAGAAGTGAATTTATTATTCTATTACAAAATGGGGGGATGGTCTCTCTCCTAAAAGATTCATTGGTAAGGTCATTTAACTAGCAAACACCTGTAGTGGCATTAACATAGAATCAATTTTCCAAAAAAAATCAATTTACGTTTAATTTTCCAAAAGTGACCACCCATCAGGCCAAACAATGGCAATGATTATTGAGTGAACATTTCTTAAGATGAGGACGTCTTTCAAAAGTTGACATATTTGGTTGGCATTCACTGTTAAACTGACAGTATACCTGATCATTCCCACCAAGCCAGAAGTATAGGGTAAAAATATGGCAAGGGACCCTTCTAAAATTTGGCTTCTTTTTCCACCTACAGAAACACTATATCATTACAACTCAAAACAGAATATGGGCAATAAAATACTTTTATACCAAACTGTTAATTTAGAATGAATACATTAAAAAATAAACAAACAGTTGCTGACTGCATAAGGAAGAAAATTTCACTGCTGATACTTAACAGATTTTTTTTTAAGAAAGCAGTGATTTTGTC